TTATCAAAGTTAAGACTCTGCCACACCCCCCTAAAACGGCTCGTTCTAACACGCCCCCACATATCTACCTCACTATGTGGAAATATTTGCATAATGCCGCCCAAATGTGCACAAAAAAAAGAAGGCGTGGTTTCAGTAACCGCAATTAGTGTTGAAGCAGCATGTCAGGGAGACGCTGTGTGTTTCAGTGCGAAAGCAAAAGCACTTCCAGAAGTAGATGCATTTGGGAATCTTTAAGAACAGAACAGAACAGCAATGCATTTTATGGACGATCGTCTCGTGAACCTAGGAGAGGAGGTCATTCTGACTTTGCTATGACAATCTGGCGCTTCTGAATCAGCTACTGTTTTGTTATTAGTTTAAGTATTTGCTATTGACTGTTCAAATGCAACATAATACTAACGTTCGAACCCATTTTGAGGCCTGGAAACCAAAATGTTAGGATTTCCTGATATTTAGAGGTTTTCCATGAGCGTGGGAACCTTGATAGTAAAAGACATAGATGGAAGCAATGCCACTACCACCATAACCACACTCTTATTTGTAGTTTAAGCTTCCAGCCCTGGCAGATCTTCATAGGATCCCTTCTACGAAACAGGTCGACACAACAGGAAATGCATTCATGTGATGAAAAAATGACCACAGCACAGCTTTTAGGACAGATGTGTGAGATATCAGTCATTACATGTTTAAGGTTGAAAACTATTAAGTTGTTAATATGGTAAAGGCCGGATGAATCTTACCGAAGTGCCGGGAGTGTAACGCATTCCTCGATCCATAGAATCCATTTCTGAGAGACCACCAGGAGAATAAATATCTACAGACGTTTCTTCTCACACTTCCACCTCTGCTGACAAAATAAGACGAGGAATTGTGTATTGTAAGAAACAAAAAAAATCACAGGCTTGCTATTCTAAGAATAACAAACAAGAAATTACACAAGTGTGGAAACCAACAACACGCCCATAACAAGTGCACGAGGAACAAAATATCAATTCCAGCGTCCTAATAAAAACTTCCCAAATGAACAGTCGAACAAACTAAGACGTGTATGTCTCAAAAACGAAATGACAGGATTAAAATGAGGGACTTTTTGTCTTCCGGAGAGAGTGAAGATGGTTTCGGCTACCTGTGAGACGAGAGAGATATTTCCGGAGACTCGCGGCACGATGGGAGTGACTAACTCAAGCGATACCAGCTCGACAGGTGAGCACTTCCCACAAATAACACTTTAAAACCCAATCTCCAAACTACACAATAGCCCTAAATACATCGAGGTACAGTGACTACGTGCCTTAACATTTTAAAGCAACTGTAAGGTATATTTTAAGTATAGATATGACTGTACAAATTCAGTATCGATGTGTAGCCTATTTCTGCTACAGAGTGACTCGCCTTTCGCGGGCGTCGGCTATGTCTCGGAATCTAGTGTGCTGCCTACTTAGACCGCATGGTTAGCCATCATACCTAGACTGATTCGGAATACGCCTATGGGACCGAAAAGACTGTCTAGGTAGGACGCGTAGTAGATTTTGAGACAAAGCCTTAAATGATACAAACTTGACATGCAGGTTTCTGTTGCATGAAAATGGCGTTTCCACGAAATAGAGCTCACTAGAAAAACCGATGAGTAAGGCTAAAGATATAAAGATAAAAAAATGAGAAAATATAGACCAAAAAAAAAATATATATATATATATATATACCAATACAAATCAAATATCTGTATAATAATAATAATACAATATAATACGCCAGTAATAATAAAGTTTATTGATATCAGATAATATTAATATGTCATAATAAGGTGAAGTTTGCTGACCAAATATATTTGCTATTACTGAAATTAAAATGAAATACAGTATAGAAATTAAACAACTAAATTATAATCAAAAGGCAATCTCAGAGTGAAGGTAACAAAAGATTTGATAAGCAAATATTCAGCAGGAATGGATATGGGTTAGTCTCTCAAAATGGCAAGCTGTAAGATATAAAGTGTTCTGTCCATGTTAAAGGACATCTGTCAGAGAACAAATAGCAGTCGCTTGTACAATGGGTCAGTAAATGCAAATAATATCAATTGTTGTAAAAACTGTATGTTATGTAATCTGTCACAGCTTCTGCAAACAGTGCAAATGAAATGCTGTTTTCAACATTGACAATTTCACTGCCACAAAACATTGTGTGTGCCATTATTTTGAATTATGTTTATGACAAAAATGGTTTTATATAGATAAATGTTTAGATGAATGTCCTTATTGACCTTTGAAAGCATAGCATCAGCAACTGCACAATCTATAGCACACAGTATCTAGCAAAAACTATAATATATAAGATACTATAGGCTGTACAGTACACAGTGCATCAGAATGTGGGAAAACATGAATAAGTTGCACAGAAGGCAGATGACATGAAAAGCTTCTCTGTTAGATTTATTGACTATTGGATTGTGTAAATGTGGTGTGATGGGAGAAGCAGACAGTCTATTGCAGGGGTGCCCAAACTCGGTCCTGGAGGGCCGGTGTCCTGCAGAGTTTAGCTCCAACCCTAATTAAACACACCTGAAGCAGCTACTCGAGGTCTTACTAGGCATACTAGAAACTTCCAGGCAGGTGTGTTGAGGCAAGCTGGAGCTAAACTCTGCAGGACACCCACCGGCCCTCCAGGACCGAGTTTGGGCACCCCTGGTCTATTGTGTAATAGCAGCAGGCAGAAAAACACCATGTAGACTTTTCTGCCCGCATATACTGATTTCACTTGGATCCCCTGTACATCCTTGTCTGTGCTCACAGGTTGACATGGATGTAAATCAGTGTCCTGCTGTGTGACATTACTTCATCTAAAACAATTTTGGAAAACATTTTTTTTTTACTTTTTAGGTAGTTTTTTTTACCCCATGACCCCCAGCAACTCATTTTTACATAGTGCTAATCTGCAACAGTATTAAGGGATTGGGGCTTTTGTGAATGAATTTATGAATGTTGACAAATGGCACGTTCGTGACGGTGACAGAGACGTGGTGTTTTACTCTGTGTGTCTTCCACTGTGTTCTACGGTTTATTTTTCAATAGGATCAAAGAAAAGAAGATCGAAATGACCTGAATATTGAGTCCGACTCCGTCCGTTAGTTACTAGGCCCGCTCACTTTTGCCCAGGCCCGCCAAAAATACAATTCTGCCTATTGTAATGTAATCTGTCAGGACCACTAGGACTTTCTACATACGTTTTCAACGGTTGGGAAGGACGTATAAGAAAAATGGTTCTAGACAGTTTAGGGTTCTTCGGCTTCTAACAATAGCGGAACCTTTTTTCGTACTAAATAGAACCCTTTTTATAAGGTTCCATAAAGAACTATGCTTAAAAAGTGCTATATAAGACCTCAGTGGTGTTGTAAAGAACCTTTTTAATAATAATAATAATTAGTTTTTTTATTTTGTGTATTAATTTTGTATTTTTTCTACCCCTCTATCTGTCTGGTCTTATACTATGTAATCTCTATTAGGGTTTTTCTTGGATATTATCTTGTAATCTCTATTAGGGTTTTTCATCAAAACCACAACAGCATGTTGTGTGAATTAGGTACTTTTTTTGACATATGAAATCGTAGCATATATGACAGTGCACTAACAACAGTTATTAATGATAATTGACACTGAATATGAATAAATACAGAAGTAAAACTCAAAGTAGAAACAGAAAATAGATGTAATGAAGACCAAGTTCCAGTGAAATATCTTGACAATCCTCTATGATGCCTTTACGCCCATCATTTTAGTGTAACTGAATGGCAGTTTCTCTCTGCAAATGATAAGGGTGTGACAGGTGGCAGCACCTGTCTGGTAGAAACACAACTGGGTTTAGAGTCACAGTGTGTTTCTTCCATTTGTTTCAAGGGATAGTTCACACAAAAATCTCATCCTATCCCCCCCCCCCCCCCCATTCTAAAAGT